ATACACTATGACTATGTACATAATTGTAAATATATATATATATATTCCGAATGTGTATGGCGTGCGTGTGTGTGTGCGTGTGTGTGCGTGTGTGTGTGTAACATCTAAATAGATGTAAAACTTCTTTTTTTTCTTCCTTCTGTCCTCTCCCTTTTTAAATCTAGTGAAAGGGTTTTAAATCTAGTGCAGGGGGATGAGGGTTCCCTTGGTGTGCCTCATCTAACAAAGACCGCACCAAGTGGACGTGATATCAGTGCCCGGCCAGCACTGACGTACCTGCACTCGTATATATTTTTTTACGCTGTTGGTTTATATGTCAATGACTCCTGTGATTTTTTACTGACGTGCTTCTTATACTCTTACTGCTGTTGGTTTATATGTCAATGACTCCTGTGATTTATATGGACGTGGCAAGGGGCTAAGCCAAGAACCCCAATAAACAAACAATCTAATAAATTTGTTTCCTGTCTTTTTGCATGTTTCAGGATTCAGTTCCTGCCGGATCATATAATGATCCATTCTTGTCTAGTGTGATTCCTATGGTGACTCCGACATGGTGCCATAGGGCCAATTGAGGCAACCCCAGTTGGGGTCAATGTCGACTGACTTGAATTCCGAATTCACACATTTTAATTTAGTAATTCGTTTAAGTAAAGTGCAACAGCTGGCCTTGCGGTTATGCACCATTTTACGATGTCCCGCCGATCCTGCTGTCCCTTGAAAACCCTGGTGAAAAGTTGTCTTCTCTGAGTGAAGCCAATCGGAACAACCAGAAACTCCTTTTTTGTCACTGCTGCTTTTATACTTTTATTGCTGTTGGTTTATATGTCAATGACTCCTGTGATTTATACTGACGTGGCAAGGGGCTAAGCCAAGAACCACAACAGAAGGCAACAGGCACATGCTTTCCAGGTGTGGTTTTTTCTCTTTTGATGGTTGTCTGGTGAGGTTAAACATTTTGTGCACCTAATTCGTTGGAACTTGAAAGCCGTTTTATGCACTTGTGGCTGACTTGAACACGGGCCTGGATTGGCACAACGCACGACTTCTAGGTTTTAGGAGCTGAATCCTGTTGTTTACTAATTGTTTTGGTTTTCCTGTCTGTCATCACTAGTCCCCCATTTGGTCCCTAATTTCCCCGCGTGCCTCTCCGTAATGTGTCGTGGGGTTTAGGTGTGTGCGCTGTTTTGGTTAGGTCCGTTTCGCCGTGTAGGTTGGTTCCGGAGGTCCGTCTGTTCCCCTCCCCCCCTGCGCTGTTTTTGGCCGTTTGCCCTTCGTGTGTCCGCTTTTTTCTTCCTCTTGCCTTTCAGGGTTGACCCGGCTCTGGCCGGGTGTGTGTGTGTGTAACATCTAAATAGATGTAAAACTTCTTTCTTTTTCTTCCTTCTGTCCTCTCCCTTTTTAAATCTAGTGAAAGGGTTTTAAATCTAGTGCAGGGGGATGAGGGTTCCCTTGGTGTGCCTCATCTAACAAAGACCGCACCAAGTGGACGTGATATCAGTGCCCGGCCAGCACTGACGTACCTGCACTCGTATATTTTTTTTTACGCTGTTGGTTTATATGTCAATGACTCCTGTGATTTTTTACTGACGTGCTTCTTATACTCTTACTGCTGTTGGTTTATATGTCAATGACTCCTGTGATTTATATGGACGTGGCAAGGGGCTAAGCCAAGAACCCCAATAAACAAACAATCTAATAAATTTGTTTCCTGTCTTTTTGCATGTTTCAGGATTCAGTTCCTGCCGGATCATATAATGATCCATTCTTGTCTAGTGTGATTCCTATGGTGACTCCGACATGGTGCCATAGGGCCAATTGAGGCAACCCCAGTTGGGGTCAATGTCGACTGACTTGAATTCCGAATTCACACATTTTAATTTAGTAATTCGTTTAAGTAAAGTGCAACAGCTGGCCTTGCGGTTATGCACCATTTTACGATGTCCCGCCGCTCCTGCTGTCCCTTGAAAACCCTGGTGAAAAGTTGTCTTCTCTGAGTGAAGCCAATCGGAACAACCAGAAACTCCTTTTTTGTCACTGCTGCTTTTATACTTTTATTGCTGTTGGTTTATATGTCAATGACTCCTGTGATTTATACTGTCGTGGCAAGGGGCTAAGCCAAGAACCCCAACAGAAGGCAACAGGCACATGCTTTCCAGGTGTGGTTTTTTCTCTTTTGATGGTTGTCTGGTGAGGTTAAACATTTTGTGCACCTAATTCGTTGGAACTTGAAAGCCGTTTTATGCCCTTGTGGCTGACTTGAACACGGGCCTGGATTGGCACAACGCACGACTTCTAGGTTTTAGGAGCTGAATCCTGTTGTTTTACTAATTGTTTTGGTTTTCCTGTCTGTCATCAACTAGTCCCCCATTTGGTCCCTAATTTCCCCGCGTGCCTCTCCGTAATGTGTCGTGGGGTTTAGGTGTGTGCGCTGTTTTGGTTAGGTCCGTTTCGCCGTGTAGGTTGGTTCCGGAGGTCCGTCTGTTCCCCTCCCCCCCCTGCGCTGTTTTTGGCCGTTTGCCCTTCGTGTGTCCGCTTTTTTCTTCCTCTTGCCTTTCAGGGTTGACCCGGCTCTGGCCGGGTGTGTGTGTGTGTAACATCTAAATAGATGTAAAACTTCTTTCTTTTTCTTCCTTCTGTCCTCTCCCTTTTTAAATCTAGTGAAAGGGTTTTAAATCTAGTGCAGGGGGATGAGGGTTCCCTTGGTGTGCCTCATCTAACAAAGACCGCACCAAGTGGACGTGATATCAGTGCCCGGCCAGCACTGACGTACCTGCACTCGTATATATTTTTTTACGCTGTTGGTTTATATGTCAATGACTCCTGTGATTTTTTACTGACGTGCTTCCTTATACTCTTACTGCTGTTGGTTTATATGTCAATGACTCCTGTGATTTATATGGACGTGGCAAGGGGCTAAGCCAAGAACCCCAATAAACAAACAATCTAATAAATTTGTTTCCTGTCTTTTTGCATGTTTCAGGATTCAGTTCCTGCCGGATCATATAATGATCCATTCTTGTCTAGTGTGTGTATACATATTCATGAATTAACCCAACCCACTTCTTCTCTAAACATATGGTCTTTTCATGTCTTTTCGACACACCCAAAATCACCAAGGGGATGCAAAATTGGTGGATTAACCACGTTTTTTTCTGTTTTAGAAATCCATGGTGTTTTTAACCATGGCCAAGTAAGGATGGTTTAGACATGTTTCCTCTCGGGAAAATCTCGAAGAACGCGGATTCGCGGATTCTGGGCCAAATAAATGATATATTCGTATACTGTATAAACAAAAAAATGTCCAACAAAAAGCAAGATATTGATATCATGTTCTTGTCGAATATCAATGAATTAGCCTCAAGTAAATTAACAGTTCGACCCTGCCAGATAATCCAGTTGTCGGGGTTGGAAGACTAGTTGCCACTATAAATTGGTCATTTTCAGGGTCGAACTGTTAATTTAATTTACCAGGGGGTACAACTCATTCAGAACATGCCGGCATGTACCCTCTGGTTATTTAACATAACAGTTCGCCATGGTTTTTCGATGGCCCTAATCGAAATAGATGCTTTACCTGGGTTTAACCGTTCTTAAAAATAGTGATTTTCCATGGCTATGTAACAAATAACCAGGCAAAAATGGGGGGATCCCCCTCCATGGCAAACTGTGAATGTCATTTCACCAGATGGTGATTTTTCCAGCCACCACTGGGAACCCATGACCGGAGGCCATGCACCTAGGTGACGCGTTGGTTCACGCGTCGTCATGCTGAGGAAAATTCTGTGGCTTAACATGGCTGAACCATCAAACATGGTGATATTTCATGAAATAACAATATAAAGGGACATATTCAGATAGATAGATAGATAGATAGATAGATAGATAGATAGATAGAGATATATATATATAAAAACATATATATATATATTGATTGATTGATTGCCGTTGATATATCATTCAGGTAAAGTTAGCGTGTTATCATATATTGAAATCCAAAGTTTACGTTTGAGGAACATCATCTATCAGCTAGTTTCTCCAGATATAACTTTGATTCGCTGCGAGCCACCAAAAACTCAAACATATTTACTATAGCTTCCCCACATGGTGGATGTACTAATGGAGGGGAAAAAACACCTTCAGCAAAATCTAAGAGAATGTTCTATTTCCATCCCCTGTGTTTTCCCATATTTGTTGGCGGTCAGAAAATTGTGGTATCTCCATTGTTGCGATGGGCTTCGGTCACTGTAATTTACCCACCGGAGCATTCAACATTTCGTGGTGTTCCCAGGATTTCTTTAGATGGGAACCCAGGATTCTTCAACAAATGATCCGGTCGAGAGATTATACCCAGGGTATTCTTTAAGAAGGAAATCCGCAACTCCGGAAATATGTCAGGATCCGTAGAAATATGCGGATGTAGTATCATTTCTTGCACGAATCGTCATATCTACCCAGATCATCCCAGATCAAGAAAACATTGGAGGCACATCTTCAAAACATATCCATCTCAAGGCCACGTGTGGATCAAGCACAGCTGCAGGGCAAGAGATGACAGTGTTGAAAATCTCTGGTAATTTAGGTTTTTTGTCGCCATGGAAGCCATGGCCCATTTAGATTCATGCTGTTCGATGATTCCCTATTGAGAATGATTCTAACATGGATAAACATGGTGATTCAAATTTAGATTAATCTAGTTCGATGATTTCAGTACCTATCAGTACCTATTGTTAAAAAAAAACATATGTTTAACACACAGTCATAAACATTGTGATTTTTCTCTGATCTTCCAGTTCGCAAAGTGTGCCAGTCATTACAAAAGGCTTCGCAAACTGTGTAGCACCGAGGCAAAGGCTATGAAGGTTAAAACATACAACTGCAGAGAATTCATGGAATTTCACTTATTCAATAGCCACATCATCTAGCCATGGGGCATGTTCCGTTGCCAACCTGTTTTTCCCAACCTTAAGGCATACCCCAAGCTTCCCGGCCGGCCATTTTTCCAATCTCATGTCATCTACAGGTCCGCTCATGGATCTCATCGCACATCTTGACCTATGAGAAACTGGGAGCGAACTCGCCAACGCTCTGCGATATCTGCGATCTTCGGCTTCTCCAAATTTCCACGGAGCTGCATTCGGTCGCGATCAGCTGTCCAAATCGGATGGCTTGGCCCCGGTGTCTTCTTGGCCCCTTAAGTTGGTAAGAAATGGATCACATGATGCGAGCCCTGACCGGTTGGTACGAGCTGACCATCTTTTACGCACCTTCAGAGGTAAGGGTCATGGGAATCTGGCGGTTTGTATCTTTGCCTCAGCACATAATCGATATCCTTACACAGCCGGGACAGTGTCACATTGGCATCGTGAAAATCCAATAACGCATTTTGAGCAGCTTTCACGCGATCCAGTGGTTTATTTTGCAAGACTGACTCAAGAAACTTGTTGTTCCTGTCCCAAATCTGTCCGCGAGGTTTTTGCAACACCGTCGTCAAATACAACTCTGCGAAAAGTTTGTCTGGCTCTACCTTATGGCCCACCGGTAGGACAAAACAACACATATCAACTTGTCGCCTTTTTACACCCAAAGTTGTTAAGAAAAAGAGTTTGTTTCATCCAGTCAAGGAACCTGCATGTTCTTCATGTCAATGTAGAGTGAATCAATCACCGGCAGAGGGGCTTGCCATTGTGTTGCAACCATACTGCTGAAGACGGCCGTATCAGGTTGCAATCTGAGTTCGTGGATCTGTGTGAAAAAGTACTCTGCAACCAGATGCCGCTCCTTGCTCTCAAAGTCTGAACATGCTCGAATGGCCGACGTCAAGTGGTAGAGGTCCTGAAGATCTTGAAACAGATGCTGTACGGGTGCAAAAATTGACTGTTGACCAGGAAATTACACAGAGAAAAGATGAGAAAAGTCCGGTTGGTGGTGCCCTCGGTGCCCCCGTGTGTTAGCAAAGGCGGCTAAGGCGGTTTATAACTCCAATAAGTCTTGGGTTTATGGAAAGGTCTATCGATATTTAAGAAAGGATACACCCAAACGTGAAAATCAATGCATCGGCAGTGATGACAAAACAGCATAGGACGCACACGACCTGGGAAAGGAAACCCAAAGCACATAGTTTTCATCATCCCTCAGTTAGTTTCCCTAAAGTTTTCCCACTGCTATGATGACACACTGCATGCAGCCAAACATAGAAAAGGCCGCCAGCGCACTAGCACTTGCACGGCCAATATTGGGGACCTTTCAAACATGTCTATGTCAACCTTGTTTATTGCTGCTTTGTATATCCATCATTATCCTGCCATGTTTTTTTGGCAGAAAGCAAAAACACTTAAAAACTATATAATCTGCTCAACCAAGGTTTGGGCTGAGGGGCCAGAAGACTTGGGGCAGAAAATTCATGCGCAAAACCCAGCCATACCGATAAAAAAAGAACCAAAATTGAACAAAGCACCGAAAACATACAAACAAGTCAAGAGCATGCAAATGAACAATGAGTGCATTATCTAGTTTTCAACCAATATGTTCCAGCTGTCCTAGACCTGCCACCAGAACAACAGGGAATCACCAAGAATGGGTTGGATGATCAAATTCCTCCGGCAACTGTTCCCATGACTCAACCCGAAATCAATCAGCACAGTGCAACCATAACATCCATGCAGATCCATATCCTATGGATCCAATTGCTTCCTGAGTACTTTGAAAGTACTTGGAGCCATAGGGATACAAAGATGGGGGATCCAAAATCATCGAAGTTATATTGGTCATGTTTAACAGGGAAACAAATGGTTTTTGCCCTCCGACCAAGTTATTAAGTTGCATTGCATGCTCGGCGAACTTTAGATATTGTATGATATTGTAATTGTATACGCCTTGAATAACGGTCAGGCTTGTTATAAACTAACTTAGCTATCGTTTGCGGGGCTCTCCGTGTACCAAATTACAAATTCCAGTCTGAATGTCTGTTGTTTTTCCTCATTTTTCTTTCAAAACAAGTGTTACACATAAAAATAAATAAACAAATAAATATATATATATATATATATGAAGTATAAATATATGTATGTATATAAGACACAAATTATAATAGGTACATAACGGTACATGTACAATATATTATACCAAACAATCTGACTCTTGGAAACAGTTCAAGTTCAAAAAAATGATCATTCAGAAGCCACAAAAATATATCCACCATTTCGATATCCATTCTCCGAGTCTCGATATCCACTCTGCGACTTTCCATTTGATCAAGGACCTGCGCAACGGTTTTCACATCAGCCACCCTGGCTGCGGCGGAGATCCGAGACATCGCCAGATGTCCATTCAAGCCACAGTCCTTCAAGGCTTCTTGATATACCTGGGCTGCTTGGCTGCTTGGAGTCTACACTGAGATTTAGATCCATTTATAAATGGTTCAAGTATCAAATGTATCATTATTCATTTTAGATCCATTTACAAATGGTTTAAGTATCAAAGATGATCAAGGGTTGGTGTGAAGTCCCTACAGTAAACGTTGAAGCGCTTATGCATGTAAGGGTCTGGATACACTGGAAAACACAGGCATCTCAGCTTCGACATCACCCCAGAAACCCCAATTTGACTATCGGTAGTAGCCACTTGCGATTCGAATAGTCCCAGTTGCCGTACAACCCACTTGCAGCCAAGAAGAGTCCCCTATCTCTCCTTGCATTCCTTGAATTATTGTTGAAAGGAGCTGTGCAAAGGATTCTCTGTAAATGGGATATGATCTCATATAGTAGGCGATGCAGAACCCGAAATTACAACCCTGAGAACGGTTTTTGGCCATGGTTTCTACAAAACCATCTCATTGTTGTGGTTTGAGTAAAGCTTGCGTCACACATCAGCCAAAACACCCACAACAGGTAAATTGAGGGTCGAATCTAAGTAGGTGGGCCAAAATTAGCGTTATTCTGTAACTACGCCAATGTCACACTGCCTTTTTGGGAATGCGCAAGCTCTGACAAGTCAACTGTGGATTGATACCCCAACTGGGAGGTTTACTCGTGGGGTACCATTTTCGTAGTGCAATTTTAGTAAAACATAAAAGTCCTAGAATAACTCATCAACAAGGATTTACATGTCTGGTTTATATGATCTGGCTAATCCCATAGGATCCATGTATGCTATATATGGTGACATTTACCATCAATATACCCCAAATGTTAGCATATATACCATACATGGATCCTATGGGAATTGTCACAACCTGAAAATCGCTGAAACAAAGCCATGTGAGGACGGTTCCCTTTACGAACCATCATGCCAGTGACCTAGCCATGTGAGGTCAATATAATTCATAGAGATCTCCAATCAAAATGCGGCTTTCCTAAAATGGGGTGTACCACCAAATCATCCATTTACATACTGTAATGGGATTTACCCTAAAAAAAAACCAGGGGTACCTCCCATTTCAGGAAACCCCCATGTCCCCAATCAAAATGAAGATGTTTCCACCGTTTCGCATGTTGGAAACCTCAGTCCCTCCCCGCCTCACATACTCTTTCAGTGTCTTCCAGCTGCCCGAAGATTCGCAAGGCTGTGGAATAGCAGAAGGAATCCTTGGACTTGCTTAAGGAACCACCATCCCCCCAAAAAATAGGTTCCCCAAGTAGTGGATGTCCTGGAAAATCCGCCAATCATTGACTCAGCAACTCCAAGTGTCCTGCTGACAGCTCTCCTTGCATTTTCTGTACAACGATGCTCCTTGCAGAAGTTGGTCGTAGTGGATGGCCGCATTCATCGCCAATACGTAGATCCGTGAAGAGTTGCCAGTGTATGAAGACACGGCGGCGTCAACCACTTCCCACTCCGAGGCGCTGCGGAGCTTTCTCTCCAGTTCTCTCTCGGCAGGGCTGAGGGAACTGAGGGAACTTGCGGCCCGGGACTTGAAAGGATCCTGGATTTAAGCTGGGAACATTCCTGGTTGGTGGTATACCTACCCCTCTGAAAAATATGAAAGTCAGTTGGGATTATTAATCCCAATATATGGAAAAATAAAAAATGTTCCAAACCACCAACCCCAGATCCCACTTACATCCTCTTACCCTCTAGTTATCAAACATGGCAATATATGGTAATGGAAATTCCTGGTCTATATGGTGTTTTTCCCATGAATTGACTTCGGGGATTTCGCCGCCCGCCACACATCAACCTTACAAGACCTGGTAAGATGAACCTTCTGGTAACTTAACATAGCTGTGGAAATCTTTATGTTGAACAGAAATGTGACATGTGAAATTACCGGAGAGTATAGATGAATTGTATTCAGCTCTCAATCTTGACCATATCATCTATGTCAATTGGCTTGGACCACTCATCCAGAACAGATTGCAGCGCCGAGTCTCCAAGTTGGATACTGTTCCAAAGCCAAGCAGCTTGGGACGTCGAGCTAGCAGCTCAACCTGGAGCCCCAGGGATTTCAGGTGCATGATAGTTCATAGATGATGCTCATCCCAATTATATATATAAATAATTATAATATATAAATATCTATATATATATATATATATTGGATCACAATTTACAAATTATAACTCCCTAAAATCATCAAACAAGAGAGGTTTTGAACATTGCTCATTTGGTTGGAGATGGTTGGAGCAAAACATGACAAAAACAATGTACATTCGAAACTGGGACCGGTCTTAAACCACCTCTATATGAGCCATGGTCAATACTCACTATATGGTTGATGGTCATCCCATCCATAATAAGGATCCTTATAATGGTTATTATAAATCCCTATGAACCATTGGATGACTAGCCCCTATTAATGGTTATTAACCATGAGTATTGACCATAGCTCATATGGATAAGTTGATGGTCTGTAAGCCAGGTGCTGTCACCCCAGTCATGGAAAAACCCGGATTTGTTTTTTTTTGGCACCTTCAAAGATGTTCCCGACAAATACCCTCGTCTTCGGTCAAGGCCAATTGTTGGATCCGCGTATTTCTTCACATTAGAACTGCAAACATGATGGTGAATCTTGAATACCTATCAACAAAACTGTTTTTTAACATCAAAAGTTGAATACCTATCAAATCCTATCAAGAAATCCATAAGTGTTAAAACCCATGCTGGTTATTTTATCTAACATGACGGCAAATTTCGAACAACGGCTTCCCCGCAGGCACGATTGGTGAGGTCGCATATGCAGTCGGGTTGCGTCGCCACTGGTTTAAACAAGCTCCATGTGTGAGGAAGGGAAACATGGAAAAAAACAAATAGAATATGTGAGGACTTTGTTGATGAAACATACAATCAATAGAAAATTTCCACAAGTGATATACAATGAGTACCGTTGCTCAATTAGATGAAAGTTAATCATTGCTTATGATTGTGAGATGTGACCCAATACTACCGATGTTGGGGTGTGACACAAACCGTAAGGGTTTAATGAGCGCCCACCTCCACGTAAATGTGCGATTTCAAGCGGCTTCCTCCGACAAGAACAACTGCATAAAGCAAACAAGACTAGTTCATCAGTTCATCCTTCAGAAATGGAAATCTTGATTTTCTTCATGGAAATGGGGGAAATGTGACTTTTGGTGAGGTTTTTGACATCAGAAAAATCTGAAGACAACGGCGGCATTTCTTTCCAGCAACGATGATGCAAACGCTTGGCAGCATCCAAGCTCTACGGAGCCCAGGGCGGCCGCCCCGCGGCATGGCGTGGCGAACACTTTTCTTCAGCGGTTTCAGCACAATGCTGCGGCAAACAGAAAATGTGATCAGACCTAACCAATGGAAGGATTGTTTTGGTGAAATTTGATGAATAACAACATAAGATAAATCAATGCTTACAGCATAGCCTGAAAAGTTGCCGATAACCGTTTCATATTGTTTTCATGCTACAAAAACAGCGATTCCTTGTTCTCAAACCCTGTATAGAAAGTATCACAAGATCAACAGCTAGTGATCAGCCTGGAGATCCCTTCTATGGACCCAACCACGATTTAACCACCGAAAGGTAATGCTTACCTCCTGGTGCACAGGGAAATATATATATATATATATCCATGTCCAATGTAGACACCTGCACCCTATGAGGGAGTATGGGGCTGGCTGCGAAAATGCAGTTTCAGGAGGGATGACACCGGCTCCTTTACTCAAGTTTAAGTGAGAAGGGGAAATCAAATTAACTTGAAAGAACCTCAGCTAGTGTCGAAAGTGCAACGGAGTTGAGAACAACATACCTTGGCCCTCAAAATACCATTGAAAGTGCATGATTTTTGCAAGATTTGGTGAAAGATACCGTTTTTTCATTGGTAGAAAATACTGCTGCAATGTTGCATTTCCCCACCCAACACTGCAAATACTCCGGGAATCTCATTGATGTTGCGCTGAGCATTCGACCATTGCCATTGTCAACCTGCAACCCAAAAGACATGAACCATGGCTGAATCACCCTGTGGTATTTTTGTTTTGGGTCCAGTTCAAGTCATTTGGGTTCCAATGGAGCCACTTGGCATTTCAATTTCAGCACCCCAAAATGGGGGTCGAATTTTTGAGCCTTGAAAAATCCCACCTTTGATTCATTTTGATCTCATCTGTTGTATGGTCGTACAATGTCGTACATGAATGGATCATCGAGTTTTGGGTGATAAAATGTTGGTTAAAACTTTAAAACAAGATGCAGCCCACGAACCCGAATGCAGTCACGTAAAACATTTTTGTGAAATATTTTTTCAACAGTTTTGTACATTCTTCCCCTGTTACCATAGCAGTGTAGACTGTGGAGTGTAGAATGGGGTGGAGTGCGGAGTGTGGGGTGCCACTTATCAATTTTCTCTGGACCGTGTTTGGAATGCAAAAAAACACGATGAAACCGCAAGATTTCAGAGTGTGCTTCCCCAAAAAAAACATCTAAAACATGTTTTTCCTCCTTAGCAAAAAAACACATAAAAAATGAAAAAAACAAAGTAACAGTTTTTCTTATTCCCTCGCTAGTTTAAATTAGATTAATTTCAAGATAATTTCCTTTAACTCAATTTTCAACTTCCATAGCTTCAACTTAACTCTCTGGGCGGCTCCTTGTGACATTATTTCGTCAACTAAGCTACCGTATCTCACACGCCTCTACACTGAGACATTCTCCAAAAGACAGAGATGGCATGGTCCTGTCTGGAGCTTATTCTCTCACAGCTGAGATCCAGAGCATAGCAATCTCAAATGGGGATTTTTGCTTCATGTGCCAGTTTTGTGCCCATGGAACGACAGGGTTGTGCCATCATATGATGTTTATCTTTCAGAGATCGATGCATCTATAGGTCGCATTGTGTTTATGTATGTGGTACATCGTACAAAACGGGTTGCAAACACTGCTTGGCGCCAGCAACCATTGTGAGAGATGCAAAATCTAGCGTCCCCGTTGCTGCTCTCTGCGTTGTCCTTCACTGCCTGCGTTCCAAGTCTTTGACCGTAGGCCAAGGCACTGATCTGCACACAAGCGTGCTGCAAGGGTTGCAATCTTGGACCTCAGCCACTCCGCTCTGTGCCACAACAAACACAACAGTGTCACAAACAGCAATTCCCTCCGCCCGGCCCGCTCTTCTTTTTTGGCCTCTCGAGCTCAAAACGTTCAAAAACTCCGAGGAGACAAATGCGAAACGACTAATCCTCCCCGAAGAAGGCTTGGAACTTCTGATCCCCTTGTGGTGCACCCAGATGGGGTTGAACCCCTGAAAAATAAAATTAAATCATAGGTACCCAGGCTACTGACCCCAAAATGCAAAAATGAAATCAGGGGAGTTCAACCCCACACGTTGCGCAAAGAGAAAATCATCAGTCATCCAACTGAGGGGTTTGCAAAAATAAAATCAAGAGGTTCCAGAAATAAAATCAAGAAGGTTCCAAGCCAGCATCCAAAATGTTCCAGCAATAAAACTAAAAGGTTCCAGGTCAGCATCTGTGTTTGTGAAATCATCTGAAATCTCAACAAAATCTATCAAATATTGAATCCAAACATATTCAAACCCAGATTTTAAATATGTATTTCAAGCTTTGTAGAAGCAGAATGGTGTAATCAGGTAATCACAATCCATAGTTTTTTTTCTTTTTTGTGGCGTGTTCTGGCTGCATCCTTTTCTGCCCAAACAATAGTGACCACCAAACAAAGCATAGATTCAATATATTCCAACCATACTAACCAACAAAATTCTACAAGCTTGGGAACCTTGGATTTTATTTTTCCCAAAATCTATCAAATATTGAATCCAAACATATCCAAACCCAAGAGATGTGTGTTCCACAAAAAAAAGGTAAGCACAACGCAAAAATAAAATCCAAAGGGACCCAACCTAAAGCTACTCCACCAGCTGCATTGGGGTTGGTTCTTGGTCTTGGCCCATGTCCCACAAATAAAATCATAGGGGTCTAACTTACTCAAAACTTATGATAGGCACCTTTTGAAAAATAAATCCAAAAATATTTCAGTCTCAAGCCCTATGATTTTATTTTTGAACACCGCTTAGGGATACTTCTGTTCCTCTCCGTATGATAGCACGGTCTCCGTTGTCTGCCGACCTCTACCTCTACCGCCTCCGCCTCTTCTTCGGGCTCATCGTCGACGACTGGGCTTGGAGCACCATCATCGTCATGTGCGAGAAAACGCACCATGGTGAGCTCCACCAATAGCGTCTCCCGCAGCACCGTCGGCACATTCAGGCCGAACACGTGCCTCTGTAGGCCCAGCTTCTTCGAGGGTGAAGGGTCTCTCCACCTCGGCCCGCACAGGACGCTGCACAGCTGTCCGCCAGCGTCTCAAAAAGTACGGCGGCCCCTGCGTGGAGCCTGGGCCCCACACCCGAAGTCGAAGCGACCAGCCGCTCTCATCCCACGCTTGTTGGGTGAGACGCTGCAGCTTACCGAGGACGCTGCCGAACACATGGGCCAGGTACGCCCCTGAGGCATCTTTCGAACATAAATGAATTTCAAATCGCATCAACCCAAGGCTTCTAATTATGCAACAACCTCCAGCATCTGATGCCAACCAGTCCTATGGGATTTCACGGATCCAGACTCCCCTCGAAGCTTCAAAAGCCGGTCAACGAGCGATGAGCCGACATTCTGCACATGTTCCACCTTCCGAGTTCTCTTCTGCTTCAAGTCTTGGTTGCCTTTCCTCCTTTCATTGGCAGGCAATATGTGCACAGCAGCGAACACTTCCCTCAACTCCGTCACGATGCCATTGAACTCCGTGTCCGTTGTCGGGATGGTCAAGCATAGGTATAGATGCTTTTCTTTGCTTTTCATAACTCTTGCCGGGCCTCGGGAACCCAGAACCTTCCAACTACTGCTAATGCATCTGCTCCTGGATCTGCACCTGGTATGCTACAGCTGCTGCTATACTCCTACGTGTACTCAATCTCCTACCAACTCTGCTACGTCAACCGGCCCCCAAATGCTCTTTGCCCTCCAACGCCTCATCGACAGGTACGTGCATCATCATGATTGATTGTGCACCACTGGCTTGCTCAGCGTGCAAATCAGCGCGGATTGTGGCTGCCCCATCACGACAGCACCAACTAATAGCTCGAACCCGTGCACAACTGCCGGTTTATGGTATATCACCAAGCGAAACTGATTCAACTGCTTAAACCATCACGTCCCAAGTGATAGGCCAGGCTGTGGCTTTCACAGAATACCAAAATGGCTCCACAAGTTCACCCTCACCTCGCAACACATGCGCCGGTTTTCCGGCGCATATTGCAATGCATCCGCCATCCTGCCGGGTGCCAATTTCTAACTGACTGATTCAGCCATCCAGCGAATGACAAGCCTACACTGTTGTATTTTCAACACCACAGCAGGAATAAGCCTTGTGGGCTTTACCTCGTCTAATTACCAATTCCTAAACATAACCGATGTTCCGAAGAACAAGCGGCGACTGACAGCGCAGTCTAGCCAAGTTAGCTCTATTAAATTCTCCCTAAATGCCGCCCATGCACGGTGTAAATGATTTGGATGGGTCACAACTTGGTAGCAAAAGTTACCCCGCCTGCCAATGCAAATGCAACTGCGCTTGCTACTCACTCACGCGTCGAATTTCTACAACAGTAATGAATCCAACACATGTCAAACAATGCCATCTCTGTGGGCCTAAACTGTTCCGACTCTGCAAGAAAAACTAGGTGGTATCCCCAACAGCAAAGTTGGTTGGAAGATGTAGAAACAACCGAAACCCTGACAAGGAGCGCGACTTAACTTTGAAACAAAGCAATGTGTGTATGCGTGCACGTCGCAAGGAAAAATGGAGAAGCATTCCTGCTTTGGCCTTCGGCATGCACCAAAACAACACCAAAAATTCGCCAAAAAGCCTAAAAACCCGGCGATTTAGGCTTTTTGGCGAATTTTTGGTGTTTTGGTGCATGTCACAAGCCAAAACACTGTAAATTACAGTGTTTTGTTTTGTAGCTCTTGCATGGAAAAACTACTTATTGCATCTTATTGCAACATGCTGAAACTGCGCAAGTGCAAGTGTTTTTTTGCTAGGTGTTGTCCAAAAAACATTGCAATACCATGGTTTTTGCTAACGGAGGCAAAAAGCATTGTCCCTCTGGTAATTTAACATAGCTATTGAAAATTGCCATTTATAGTGAATTTTCCCATGAAAAATTGTAATTTTCCATAGTTATGTTAGTTTACCAGAGGGTAAATACCATGGTTTTTGGCCTCCGACGCGAAAAACAATGAAAAACAGCAGTATTTGAAGTGTTTTGTCCCGAAGGCTTTCAAAATTGGCAAAACAGAGCCAATATGACGGTTTATGGGGCCCTGCGCGGCTCACACCAACAGCGGCAGCAACAACAGCAACAACAGCAGCAACACCAACAACAACCACCAGGAACCACAACTGGAACCCCTACGATATCAACCCATCAATAATTTCCCAATGTGGTTTTCTAAAATAGATATACCCAAAATCATCCAAGTCATTTGACCATGACTGAGTATTGAAAGACTTGGGGTACCCCCATGACTTAAGAAACACTCATCTAATTACATATGCCATAAACGTAGTTAAGCATGTTAAGCATAGTCAATAGGTACATCATCACTATAATCATCGATAAATGGAACATTTTCCCATATGCCACATGTCCATTATAGAAATCTACAATCTATTAAAGCTATATCATTGATATCAACGCATCAGTATTCCTCTATGTCTATATACCATAAATATACCATTGATAAGTCCAATTATAGTGGATGTTCTCATTACACAATTATAGAATATATCATTAACGAGGACGTGTGTATATATATATATATATATATTCCGCTTTATCCCATTAATATGTATATATATGTATGTATGTATGTATGTATATAGATATATTATGTATATTGTATATATATTCTGTATAATATATATATATATATATATATATATATATATTCTGTATGTATATTATATATATATGTGTGTGTGTAAATTATATATATACGTAAATAAATAAGTATATATATAATATATATATATATATAATATATATAATATATATATATAATATATATAATATATATATATATATATATATACGTATATATATATTTACGTATATATATATATAATATACGTGTATATAGTAGTAATAATAATAAATATATATATACATATGTATATATATATATATATCATTATAGTACCATCATATCCTTGGTCCTTACTTCCTCAGTAATCTCAATATGACAGCGGTCATTTGACACTCCCAGCCCCTCCCTACCACCTGATACTTCGCCTGCGCGGTCGCCTGAGCTCGAGAGGACCATAGCCATCTTCATGGGATTTCATGGGGATTGAGTGGGGGTTTAGTGGGAAATAGTGGATTTACCCATTAAACATGGGTGGGTTTTCCATAGTTACGTTAGTTTACCAGAGGGTAGCCATGTGGCAGTGGGTCAAAACCCTGGTACCCCTGTAGTTCACATCAAAATAGCTGGGATTTATGGATGTGAATAACCCTGTAAAAATGGTATTAATAGGTATTGATTCATAGCCATTTGGGAAAATGATGAGAAAAACAGTTAATTCCATTGGTATCCATTCATTAGTTCGGTATGTCCCATCTGCTTCCACAGCTTAGATTCGTTCAGTTGATCTTAGCGTGGCTCCAGAAAATCGAAGGTGAAAATGATGAATAAACCACTGGATCATGGATGATGGGGGATCCTGTTGGCACAATCCCCAATCACCTCAGAAATCACAGGTTTGAGTTGAGAATGAGTAAGTGGAGGATAAACCCTTGGCTTTCCAACTTTGGTTCAAAGGCAATTCATGAGTCGTGAACATTTTGTTGGAGGCATCCTCATCTTGCAACATCCAGTTGCACAAAAAACGTGGAATTTGCAAGACTTGATCAAGAGTTGCAGCACACTAACAACAGATGCACTGGTCATTCCGTCATTCCCAAGAGTGAATTCCCCCATGTTGAAGGCAATGAAGCTCGAGACATACCATGTTTTTGTTGGCCTTTCCATCACTTTTGGAAGATTCAACCATTCCATACCATTCCCATTTTTTTGGTGGTTGACTCCCCAAGGGCATCCTGTTTTTGTTGCTTGCAGCAATTGCAAGACGTAGGAACCTTCAGTCTCTCTCTGATAGATATATGCACATTTTGTCATTCTTGCATACAGATGGGGAATGTTAACATTCATTGCATTGCCTCATCAGAAGATGTTGTTACGTTGAAGATCGGTGTTGCATACAAATGGGGGGGGGTGGAGGGATGTTAACGTTCATTGCATTGCGTCATCAGAAGATGTTGTTACGTTGAAGATCGGTGTTGCATACAAATGGGGGGAGTGGAGGGATGTTAACGTTCATTGCATTGCGTCATCAGAAGAGGTTGTTACGTTGAAGATCGGTGTTGCATACAGATGGGGGGGTGGGGGGATGTTAACGTTCATCGCATTGCGTCATCAGAAGATGTTGTTACGTTCAAGAAGTTGTTACGTTGAAGATGTTGTTACGTTCAAGCTGTTGTTACGTTGAAGATGTTGTTACGTTAATATGTTGTCAGCTTTTTACATTCACAGAAACCCAAGTCTTCAATCAGTGCTGGAAGCATTGAAATTCTACCGACACAAAGTGAACGGGGCTTGTGCACCTACGAATGCTTTCAAAACGGCTTTGTGGATGTGAAGAGAAAAAAGGCTCATGTGCATTTCGCCCATGGTTCTCTGGGTAGATTATGACATTTTATGTCTATCAAAAGAAACCTGAAATTCCAAACAAAAACACGCAATTCCTATGGGAAAAGCAAACATGATATAAGTTGATGAACTTGACAAAGACAAAAAGACATTGAAACAGCGGACAACATATCCCAGATATGTTGTCCGCATGTGGAACTAATTCCCGATATTCTCACGTTATAGGAAGAACACGAAACACTGTAAAACACGGTGAACAATGACATTTATCAAACTGGAACACAATGAACTTCAATTGCCTTCCGGGGAACCCCCAGCCTCTGCCCTATATATATATATATACATATGTTGTGTATATATATATATATATGCGCATATATATATATATGGCAATTCCATATGGTTTAATACCCAGTTTCTTGTTGCTCCAATCTCCCATGATATCCATATGGTGTATCCCCATCTAAAAAACCCTAATTTTCTTATTTTAGAATCTATGACCAATTCTTGTGATATGTTTTGTTGGTCCAACAAAACCCTCATATAGCAATGATATCTTGTTATATACCTATTATAGCCATTACATGCATATATTATCTGGTTGGTGGTATACCTACCCCTCTGAAAAATATTAGTCAATTGGAAGGATTATCCCATATATTGTGGAAAACAAAAAATGTTCCAAACCACCAACCAGATATTATAGTCATCTAGATTGATGAGAAAAAACATCATCAACCATGTTTAGTTGATTATACTATTGGATATCCATGGATAGTAAACATTTTAGTAACCATACTAAAGTCAGTTGGGATGCTTATTCCCAATATATGGAAAGTCATAAAATTGATGTTCCAAACCACCAACCAGATACTATATCTACTGTATACATCCCATGTGCCAAGTCACAGCCGCCGTGGCCGCCACCGCTGCTAGAGCGTTCTGTCCTTCCTGCGACTCGTCGTGCAAGAATACCTGCGGCCGGCGCGGCCGGCGCGGCCGGCGCGGCCGCACGGATGAAGAAAACGTATAGCCTCTGGTAAACTACAAGGTGGTGCCCCCCAGTTATAAGTTGGTTATAATCCCATTAA